CAACGAGGGCCGCCACTCTCGTCTCCGCAAGTTGTAATGCCTGCCCTGGTCCTTTGATGCGTGCTGGAGGTTGCTGTGGACGATATCAAAAATTTCTTTTAGCCTATCCGCCTTTGTCCTAGGGTCGAGCGCACTAGTTGCTGCGGGTAACCGAGGACCAACTCCACCCGTTTCGAGAAAGCGTCATGGAACACCAATAGCATCGTGTTTCCATGTTTCGACCGTGGAAGGGGTCCGACGAAGTCCGCGCAAAGTACCGCCATCGGCTCTGCTACCTGCCTCGTCAGCATGCGACCAGCCGGTTTGAGTTGCTCACTTTTGAATTTTTGACAGTCTTCGCAACATTTCACGTATCTGGCGGCATCGCGGAACATACCCGGCCAGTAGTACCGCTGGGCTAACCTCGCCACCGTTTTTCTGACACCTTGATGTCCGGCCGTGGGAGCATCATGACATTCCCGCAGTACCCTCTGGCGTTGACCACTGCCTACGCATAGTTTCCAATGGATGTAGTCCTCATCGTCTATCCGGTGACCCAAATGCCTATATAGCTGTCCGTTTTCCTCGGTGTAATCCGGGAACTTGGCTGGCTCTTCGGCGATGCTAACACGCATCCTCGCGACCCATTTGCAGGGGGCCTCGGCCACCACTGCTTGTTGACAGGTCTCTAGAGGATGCCTCGACAGGGCATCGGCCACGACGTTGAGCTTCCCTCGACGATAATAAACGTCAAATTGGAATTGCTGCAGTTCCAATGCCCATCGCGCAATCCTTCCTGACGGGCTCTCGATCGAATTCAGACACTTGAGCGCTAGATGGTCCGTTTTTACGTCGAATCGGTACCCTTCTAGGTAGCAACGCAACTTCCGGATCGACCACACGATTGCCAGGCACTCTGTCTCAGTGACGGAATAGTTTACCTAGGCCTTCAGCAACTTTCGGCTCGCGTATGCTATCAACCGCTCTTGTCCATCGATCGTCTGCGTCAGCACTGCACCGAGGCCATACTCACTCGCGTCAGTCTGCAAGACGAACTTGGCGGAAAAGTCGGGGCAAGCCAACACAGGGGCAGTCGTCAAGCTCTCCTTCAATTGACGCAATGCCTCCTCCTGTTCTGGCTCCCATGCCCATTTCTGCCCCTTCTTTAAGAGCGCTGTGAGTGGCTGTCCTGGGTCGCGAAATTGGGTACGAAACGCCTGTACCATGACGCCATCCCGAGACACTGTCGCAGTTCTCTGCAATTTGTTGGGGCCCTCAGGTTTCGTATCGCCTCCACTTTCTCCGGATCGGTCCGTATCCCTTCTCCGCAAATTACATGTCCTAGGTAGACTAACCTCTCCCGGAAGAAGCTGCATTTTTTCCTATTTAACCGGAGATTGGCTGCCCTTAGCTGGCGGAATACCTCCCTCAAATTCTCTACATGCTGTGTTTTCTTCGCTCCTATTACCACGATGTCGTCTAGGTAAGCGAACGCATGAGGCTTCTTCTGCGGCCCTATTACCGTATCCAAAGCGCGCTGGAATGTCGCACACGCCGAGTGTAAGCCGAATGGCATCACCAGCCATTGGAAAAGACCTCTTCCAGGGACTGTGAACGCCGTACACTCCCGGCCATCGGCTGCCATCGGTATCTGCCAGTACCCGTGCTTCAAATCCAGAGTGGAGATGAACCGGGCGTGGCGCAACCGCTCCAGGATGTGGTTAATACGAGGCACCGGATAAGCGTCCGGAATGGAATGCGCGTTGAGTTGTCGGTAGTCAATGCACATACGCCACTCGCCAGTCTTCTTCTTGACCAAGACGATCAAGGCGCTGTGCGGACTACGCGACGGCTCGATGGCATTTGCCCGGATCAACTCATTCACTTGCTCGTCGATCACCCTCTGCATGCCCGGATTCTTGGGGTAGTACCTTTGTTTCAACGGCTTGTCATCCTTCAGCTGGATTCGGTGCTGCGCGATGTGCGAGATTCCCTGCAGCCCCTCGAAGAGAGCCAGCTCTGACTCCAGGAACTCCCTCAGTTCTGGGTCCAGACCCGCTGGCCAATCCGCCTCTTCGATGCCGTTATCGCCCCATCCTGGGACCGTTTAGATTCCAGATAGAACTCCGTGGCCGCTCGATTCTGGCGATCACTCCTGGCCTTCTATGTCCGTGTGGATTCTGGTCATCGCTCCTACTCCGTCCTTTCTCTTGCACGTTCCCGCCGTCCCGCTTCTGTAGCCATTAGAAGTCTGCCTCTGCAGCTCTATGCGCCGCCTCTTGGGTTCTCCAGGCTGTCGATTCGGGCCGGACTTTACTCCCCTTTTCCTGACCTTTTCCGTCGAAGGCCGAGCAGGTACTCCCTTCTCATAACTTGGGAGGCCTGCCTTTGGCTCCCTCTGTAGCCGAGCAGGTGCCCCCATCATGACTTGGGAGGCCTTCCTCCGGCTCCCTCTGTAGCCGAGCAGCTGCTTCCTTTCCATGCCTTGGGAGGCCTTCCTCCGGCTCCATCTGTAGCCGAGCAGGTGCTCCCTTTCCATGCCTTGGGAGGCCTTCCTCCGGCTCCCTCTGTAGCCGACCAGGTACTCCCTTTTCATGCCTTGGGCGGCCTTCCTCCGACTCCTCGCTCGTTCCTGGCCTCACGCCCGGTGTCGTCGCTGCATCTAGGACCAGTTCCGCCTCGCCGCAGCGTATTGTGGTATTCATCGCCCCCAAAAAATCCATACCCAGGATTACATGATCCAGCATTGAGGGCATGATGAGCATCGTCATGCTGATCGTTTTTCCCCCTAAGCTGGCGTCTACTCTCAAAGCCTTTTCTACCTCTAGGGTGGACCCATCTGCCAGGCGGATACGTGCCTGTATTTCCTCCGCTCTTCCCCGGATCGTCCATTTGCGTACGCAGTCCTCACTCATGAAGCTACGAGTGGCTCCGGCATCGATCGTGGCGGGCATCGTTCGTCCGCCAATTTCTACCGTAGCGACGATCCGGCCACCGTCCACCTTCAGTGGGTGTCCTATTGCTGCGTTCCGTGTGTATTGGCGCCGACCCGATCCTGGTCTGGACGACGCCGTTGTCCGTTTCCCGTCTCCGCGCGGCGGCAACACTTCCGACTACTTCGGCCCCGGCTTCCACATACCCAACAAAATAAGACAGGGGCGTTGGGACATTCCCTGGCAAAATCCCCTTCCTGTGCGCACCTACGACACGCCCGTCGCGGATCATATCCGTTCCCGGTCTCTTGGCTCATCATCTGATGGGCCACCTCTGCGTGAGTTGCAGCGGGTGGGGTGGAGACCCTGTCGTCCACAACGGTCGTCCCGGATCCGCTGGGTGCAGACCGGAACGGATTGAGATGTCCCGACACCCTGACCCAAGGGTTGGCTGCCTGAGTACTCCGCCCTCTGCCTCACAACGGTTTCGTATTCTACGGCCAGTTGAGTTAGCTGGGATAGGGTAGAAAAGTCTTGCCGTCGTACTGTTCCTTGAACGCTTCACCTACGCGCTGCCTCCGGGATCGGATCTCGTCCTCAAGCCTCTCGAAGTAACGAGGGGCAAGAAAAACTCCAAGAATTCCCTCCTAAACACGGCCCACGGCACACCCCTTAGCCCACTGCTCAGAAACCAACGAGCAGCCCTATCGCAGAACACCTAGCTCATTGCCCGGGCATACGGTCGTGGGCTATACCATAGGTGATAGCGCGCTCCTCGAGGTCCTCTAAGAACCCAAGGGGGTCGGAGCGTCCATCGTACCTCATACCCCACTTCCGAACCTGCTCCGGGACATTGGGAAGTGGCCTTGCTTCCGATGGATGGTGCGGCCTAGTGTAGCAGGGACCACCACCCGGTTCAACAGGGGACCTCCCCACCTCTGCGTTGACCACAACTGCCTCCGCGCCCGAGATGGTCAAACTCGGGGTGGGCGCCTGCAAAAGCCCGTACTGCTGGGAGCTTCTGAGGTCAGGTTCCGACTTTTGCCGTGGCCGTCCACCAAAGTCGGGTGGGACGCCCCGACCAAACCAAACCCAGATCTACCTCTACACACCTACACCATCGGGCCGTGGCCTCGCTCCAACCACACTAGCGGGCCGTGGCCTCGCACCAACTCCACTACCTAAACACCCTATCTCTCTGCCGGGCCGTGGCCTCGTACCACTATCCTAACGGGCCGTGGCCTCGCACCAACTACACTAGCGGGCCGTGGCCTCACACCAGCTCCACTGCCTAATCGCTCTAACTTTCTGCCGGCCCGTGGCCTCGTACCACTATGCTAGCGGGCCGTGGCCTCGCACCAACTCCACAACCTAAACACCAACCGGCAATGCCCACCCCGGAGCCACAATCTCGTATCGCATGCCCCTCGTTCGAAGTTAGATCGAACACCGGTTAGTTCCGATGTTAAGGTAAGCCAGGTTACCAGGAAACAGGGAATAATCCAATACTTTCTAGATAATAAGAACGTTGGCACTTTATTCACTATTATTCATTCCGACCTTATCGTAAATCCTAAGCTAAACCCTGCCGCACTGTTTTCTGGAGCGCTAGAGCTCCACTATACCATCTATGATTTCGTTTATCTCGCGCAGCACTGCTACGCACCCTTAACGTTCAATCACAAGTGCCGGCACGCTCGCCGGCAAGCCATGCGCTCGCTTCGGCTGCTCAACTTCGCCGCGAGCTTTCGCAACTTCGCCTCGGAGCTTTCGCTTTTCGCCGCCGAATTGAAGTTGCGCTCTCAAAGACGGTGTTGAGCAACCGATCGACAACGCACGGTTGCAGCGGCGGCCGGCGGTTAAATTCAAACTCACTATTTAAATCAATTATAATATTCGCGGCTCCTTGCCTCTTTGCTACTAATCGAACTGCTTATATTACTGATGGCTCCTTGCCTCTTATTTCACTAAGATATTAACCTAATATAATTAATACTTATAACTAAAGAAAATTAATACGTTGTCCTGCCAGCGGCTCCTTGCCGTAATTTGGCGAAAGGGATGACGGCTCCTTGCCGTGAAAACTGTGGGGTGGCTGGTCTCATTAGCCGCCTCACAATTTATATATAGCAGCTTAGAGATATCCTGCAAGGGAATAAGATATAAGCTTCAATGTTAATAGTATAAGGAATGCAACCAATTATATACCGTACCTGAAGAGAGAAATGTCCGGCTAAATTTTCGATGATGGGGAGAGTTGGTACAATAGCCGGCACAGGCGGATGCAGGCCATCAAATTACCAAAATGTGGGAGACGAGTAGGTGATCGTCTCATGGTAGGTAGGACTGCGGGGCAAGAATGGGACTGGACCCAGGGAAACCAGTTCCGTAACACATGGTATAAAAAAGACAAATCTGCCTAATTGTAAAGGAAGCAATTTATAGAACTACATGTATATATAGTCACAACTGGAGAAAACTTTACTTAGTCAATTTTTGTAAGAAGAATGGTCGGCTCTGAATTACGAGAATAGTAAACATATATTTACGAGACAAGTCGATTGTGGTTTCGCAGAATTCCAAGAAAGATTTGATGTAGGTATTTCATTCCTAACTTTCTTCTTTCCGTTCAATGAACGGGAGTAGAGAAATTCCACTAAACAATGAATTTGTTAATTCCGTTTTATTCTCATCTTTGACTTCCTTGACAGCTTCGGATGCTGTGTGTTCATCGTCTTTCTGACGAGGTTCCCCTTAAAATATAAAAATATCTCACTTATGGGTCTTATCACATTGCTTTACCGAACTGTTTGATCCTTTAAAATTACTAGTTTGTACAGTAGGCCCATTTACGTCCATTTTTTTCTACCAGACCATGACCCCGAAAGCCCACTTTAAATTCTAAAAACTGTGGTATTGTTTTAATATTAAACTTCTTATTTAAAGTTGCCGCTTACCTTCGTGGATATATCACCTGTTTATGGTTACCATAGATTGGGTGTAGCGCCTGCGCAGTGGTGTTATAAATTTATGATTATAAAGTTAACGATGCTTTGGGATTTGGAGCTGTATAGAGACAAAGGAAACAAGATGGAAAATGGTATAGCATATTCTGTTTTTCCAAGCATAAATCGGATGCGGAAGCGAACTACCACAGTTTTGAGCTGGAGACTTTAGCAATTATATTTGCACTGCGAGGATTTTGAACATATTTACAGGGAAGGCGTATTAAAACTTCGACAGACTGATACTCTTTGACTCTTTGGTATATCTTAACCCGAGAATTGGGAGGTGCAAGAATTTGATTATAAGCTAGCTCATAAAGCTGGTAAAAAAATGCAACATGGTGCCTTATCAAGAGTTAATAATACGATTATGATAACAGAAGCGAATAGTTTTGAAACGAACTTAATTATTCGTCAGAATAAAGATAGAGAGCCACAAGATGCTATGAAATTGTTTGATAAAGGCGAGCTTAATTTGTTTAACCGGAGCAATATAGTAGTGTATCGAAAGACTAATGCAAAAAATATTAATTTATGTTCCTGAAAGAAGGGATGACCATGTTTTGTATGAATACTAGGAAGAACTGGCGCATATTGGAAGATACCAAATGTTAGACGCCATTGTTAAATACAACTGGTTTCCTTAAATGAAAGCCAAAGTTATTATATTGAAAATCATTATCATTACGCTCATTAATCACTACGGAAGAGAATAGTAGAGAAAAGATATATGTATTTGCAGTAGTAGATAGTTTTACAAAATTTGTTCGACTGTATAAGACAAAAACAACAAATAACTGTGAGGTTATAAGCTCATGAAAAGATTATTATTGATCATATAGCAGGCCGAGTTGTATAATATCTGTTCGGGGAAGCTGTTTTACATCGGCGGAGTTCGAAGACATTTTACGCGAAGCAATGTGAAACATTTCAAAATAGCAACGGGTTCTCTGAAATCGAATGATGGCAAATTGTGGAACCATTGTAGAACCAACAAGTTTCCTAGTACAATGTTATTTGGATTGGCTCAGAAAGGAGATGTTAATTATGGATAGAAAAGTTAGAGAAGATGAGACGGTTAGATACAGTTAGTGAACAAAATTCGGAAGAGATTAGAGAAAAGATAGATAATAATCAATCAATAGCGCAGACCAAGAATGAAAAATATAATGTCAAGAGAGAAAATACGAATACATATAATGTTGGGGATTACATAATGTAATGGTGTAAGACTTTGATAGATATAAACAAGGGTCCATATACTACAAAAAGGTGTTAAAAAATTACAGACTTTTGGTCAAAGATATTGATGGCTTTCAATTATCTGGAAATCCTTAACAGTGTGTTTGGAGGCTCAAAATATTTAATGCTGTTTTAAATAGACATTATAAGTAAACTTAATCTTGCGCAACATAATACTATAAAGGTAAAAACTCAAAAGATGTTGTAAAAACAACAATGTAGTATTTAATTTTATTTTAGTAAGTATACGAATATATAATATACATATCACTTATTTTTTGGACAGGATGTGTAATATAATAGTAGTTAAGATTTTCCTTTGCGTGACTTACGGTTTTAATGCCAAAGCGCAGGTCACATTTCGTCGCCGCAAGATAATAGAATTTTTTCTACGCCTGTATTTTCGTTTTGTGGATCCGGGTTCATTGACACGTTTATTATAATTTTTTTTTTTTTTGTTTGTAATTTTCTCTTGGTTTAGCTTGCTTGCTGTTACTCACGAATAGAACTTATTTCGTTTCATTTCTTATTGCGTGAATATTAATTAATTATTTAACTAGCCTCGCAACGGAGCGATCGCAACAGCGAGTAGATTGAGTTCTACAACCCCGCTATGTTACCACTTTTTGCCGCTCAATCTGGGACTCTAAGGCGTGAAGGGGCTTGGCATTAACATGACCTAAGCCCCACGGAAGTACCACCAGAGTAGGTTGAGTGCTAAAAGGCAGGAATGCTGACCCAGCATTCAAATAGAAACCTCTATTTCATGTGCATGCAAACTAATGGACAGTGCGAGTCCTTGGCAACATAGTGAACACTGTGAGTGGAATAAGAGGCTAGGAAAATGTTGCCCTTTCTTATAATAAAACAATATATGTTACCCATCACACGAAAGCTAAAGCGTAAGCTTAACAAATAAAGGAAAGGGAATATACAATAGCAAGGACAAGGAAGGGAAATAACAGAGGAATGCCTGAGCAGACGGAAGATGAAAGCCGGAGTTCAATGACCATTTATAAAAAATATGGCTGTAAAAATTGCAGAGTAGGAGTGCGAGGATTCACCTACATTCCAAGTAAAATTTAAGGACATTAAACCGTGAGTTTGGACTGCGTGAGCAGGGGCGGGTCGAAAATTTGGACTTAGCTAAGAATATGGACCAAGCTAGAAACCAAATACCCGCGGCCCCAGAGCCCAAAGTCCAGCTCGAGCTGGCCGGAAGGGACAGACCTTCCAAATCCGAGTCGGGTTCTGGCTTAATTCTGGCAACACGGACAGTAAAAGTAATGAGTCAAGAACTTCTCGCCCCGTCGAGGGAATCCCAACGGGGTCAACCCGCCGACTAACGGAAGCAAGTAGGCATGACATGCATATACGCTCTCCTTCTGAGCGAAGGAATTGATATTAATTAAATGTCCGGAGGCAAGGACTCTTGTCTGAATCTGAAAACACACTCGTCAAGAGGCGTCAGATATGTTACTGATGCGGTCAACAGAGTGAGTCCGGATCCTACGGGCATTTTCGTAACTCAGTGGGACTAATGCTAGGAGGAGACGAGCTGCGGAGGTAAGCCCGGCCGCGAGAATCTGCAAGATAGCTAGCGATGGCGAAAGGTCTGAAGAAGAGAGCCCGGACAGTGAGGACGTCTGGCCAACAGACCTGCAGCCTGACTGCAGATACTTCTGAAAGAGTAGTTGGCGCAATCCGAGGCGATTAACGGCGTGTCTCATATTGCCAACCATTGGATCTTAATGAACGAACCTATAAAGCAAAGGTTCCATGCGAATAAGATCGCGTTGCAACGCGTCACCGACGAACAGGTGGAGGAATTTCTCCGGACGGGATGCATTGAGCCATCCCAAGGCCCGCAAAGCACGCAGATCGTGCTTATGATGAATACGAGAAAATCGCAGATGTGCATTGACTACAGAGTCCCGATAGAGAAGAGTAACAAGCAGTATCAGCATTTACGGTTCGAGCCCGGAGCTTTACCCACGGAAAGTTTACATACCGCAAGTTTAAATTCCAAAGGGAATTTGACTCCATAATGGGGCCAGAAATACATTACGCATTTGCCTATCGCCATAGGCGCGCGAAGACAACCTAAAGGAAAAGTTCAAGCACTTGAGAGAGACTAATTTAGGAGAATCACATGGACTACGCAAAGTGGCTAGCAAACCAGAGATTTAATGAAACTGCATCAGTATCTGGGAATGGCGACGTGGTATCGTGCCAAATTTTGCATCGAAAGGAAGAGAAGGTGTGGTCGTGGGACACAAAACAGCAAGCTGTGATGGTATAACTCAAGAACCGGAACTCAGCCTCGCTCCTTGAATGTCCAGACTTCGACAGGAAGTTCGTATTGCAAACCCTGTCCCTACACAGACGATTGACGAAGAGGAACGTGTTAATGCAAAAGCCAGTAGGAAAGTCTCGATTGAATAGATCAACTATTTGTCCTCCTCCGGGCCGAAAAAACGTAAGTAGCGGGTATATTAGAACATCAGGGCTATCGGGCGAAATAATGAAAAATTAAATCGAACGCGATCTTATCATTTAGTTCTGTTTTTATCGTTCGGCAAGCAAGGCCGATCAGGGCCGATCCTTAACCTCAATTCGGCGAGACCTCCACAAATTTGAACAGCCCCTACCGATCGCGAGCTTTTACGAAGCAGTCCTACCGCCGCCCACGATTTGTGTAGTTGCCGACCTGCCAAACTCCGTTGATGAGAAATTCGATTTTAAGTTTAAAATTAATAATGGCACCTGATAATGAAGATTCTCAAAAGATTCTTTTGGGTTCTGTTATGAAAATACTTTCGAATTCACTTCAGATTGACTGCGAAGCCAAGAAAGCATAATTTCTAAAGCAGTAAGGAGTCATTAAGGAAGAGTCGAAAGCCTTACTAAAAACAGTGAACTCAAGAAAATTAGTAGTCATTTCTACGCACGAGCCCGTGTTAGAGTTACAGTTTCCTCAAACAATATTCAATACAGAATTCTATCTGTTATAAAACTGTACTTATTATTGTTTAGGATCCTTTTTTCTGTCGTATATTAATAAAATCTTAATGATTGCGCTCTTTAACTAATCATCGAAATAATCTTAGTGTAATATTTATACATAAATTAACCCCAAGAAAAATTTACTTAACCAACTAAACACTTATTTATATAGCCGTATCTTTTAAATGCTGATTAATGGATAATTAAGAAGATAATTATAAGCAAGGTTATCAGTTGGGATATTTCTTTCCTTTGTGATGATGATAACAGACATTATTATATAATCAGATTGGTGTCTTCTAAATTCAATTGCAATACAGTGTACATCCGATTTTTCTCTGCGGATTTCGTGTGGTTTTTCATGTGGCTGAGATTATTTATCGGTTAGTCTGGTAGTGGGATTTTATAGAAATAAATATATATTGCGCTTCTTTAGGTGCATCGATCCAAATATCAATGTTGTGGCCGCTGCCATGGGTACAAAAATTAACTAAACGAGGCATAAGTAAGCCACGGCTTGTGAGCAGCTCTGCATCCGGTCTATATAAAAGCATCACTGTCAATCAAAGTAATAATTTTAAGAGTAGAAAAGTAGTCAAGTACTATTTTATGGTGATTTATAGCAGAATGGGCCAAACGCATCTCAAAAAGTATGGTCAAAGACAATATAAACACTAAGATGAGTAACGCCCATACATTTGAATGTGACGCAAAATTTCTAGCCTGGCCTTTCATCTGGCCTTTGAGGCTTCGTACGGCATGCCTGCCGACTGGTTGTTCGTTCTCCAAAGACCAGACGAACGAATGTCGAAGTCGCGGCTTGCTGATGCTGACACGAGCTACGAAGTTAGTCGCCAGCCTGCCTTCAGCAAATCTGGTCGATGCTGCTTTGCGTCGCTTCGTTTTTATTCATAAAATGCATGCTTTATTTAAATGATATATTACCCTAGATATTAACAAATAATTTTACAGGAAAATTTAAGAACTTTTATAAGT